ATGTTCTCCCTGTGTGGGTGGTTGGCTGGTGCTTTGGTGTGGTTTGCTTCTTCTTTCCTGTCAAACATCTAATAATAAGAAGAAGAATAGATAGCAATTGTATAGCGCGAATCCCCTCTCAACAGCAAGCTCTATGCACTTCACAATCTATACTATTACCCCAGCACACCTGAGAGCATTCTGAAACAATCTCAACTTCCTGGGAAGCATACAGTGCTGGCCTGCCATTTATGGGCTCTGAAACACTAACATTCTGACAAGATCTCTCCTCTTTCTTTTTTTGTGTTTGTTACCCTCTTCTAACACCTCTAATCTTCAGCACATGTATGACCTTATTGTGTTGGAAGTGCCGCAAAATGCTTTCTACAACGAGTTTCCATGTTCTCCCTGTGTCCTCAGTTTTGTGCTGTGTCTATCACGTTGTTCGTTATGCTCTCTTCATTGGTCTAAAGCCTGAAGTGGCGTCAGTAGCTCAGTGGTTAGGCTTCCGGACCCGTTCTTGTGAGATTGCGAGTTACAGGGTTCGGGTCTCAGCTCAGCCTGATGGTGTGTCCTTGGGAAAGGCTCTTTACACGAATGTCCCTTTTGGCTCTGTTCTTTTTGGAGATGGACGTTAAATTCGTAGATCCTGCCTCTTGAAATAACTTTATAGTGTTGGTAGGAGCATTAAGCCTAGCCCATTTCACCGTTTTCCAAAGCTTGACCGTGTTTGTGTCGGTTTCTTCTCCCCGCAGGTTCTGGAGTGTGCGTCAGAAAACATGGTGTCCGACGGAGAGGTGGGATCTCCGGTAGGTAGCTGGAGGAAGTGGGCGGGGCATTGGTGTGGCTCTCCTCCGTCACTCTTCTGACGGAATGTGTGTAGATCAAGACTGACTGGTCACTCTGTGAGAAATGCTATGTGTGTAGATCTAAAGTGACTGGTCACTGGTCACACAGTGACAGACACTAGCCTATGTGTATAAATCTAGACTAACTGATCGCTTTGTAATGTTGTGTATATGTCTAGACAGTGATCACTCAGTGAGGAATGTTACGTGTATAAATCTAGACTGGCTGGTCACTAGTTGCTCAGTGAGGAATGCTATGTATATAAATCTAGTCTAACTGGTCACTGAGTGAGAAATACTATGTGTGTAAATCTAGACTGACTGGTCAGTGTTCACTTGTCACTCGCTGAGAGGCACTATGTATATAAATCTAGACTAACTAGTCACGTCACTCAGTGTTGTTGTTGTTGATGCTGCTGTAGTTGATGTAGCTGTTGATGTTGTTGACAGAGCATGAAGGTGAGCAAGATCCACCTGGAGCAGCTAGCCCAGGCCTTGTACCAGTCGGACCAGCTGTTTGAGCAGGACAAGGAGCTCATCTGGATGCTGCGCTACGAGGTGTGCCAGCGCTTCCCCAACAGTCTGACACGCGTGCTGCAGTCCGTCAAGTGGAACAGCTACATCGAGGTGGCCACGGTATGTGGAATAGCTAACTGTATGGGGGTGGCTACACTAAGTTGAATAGCTAGCTGTACAGAGGTGGCTGCACTAAGTGGAATAGCTAGCTATATGGAGGTGGCTACAGTAAGTGGAACAGCTTTATGGGGGTGGCTACAGTAAGTGGAACAGCTTTATGGGGGTGGCTACAGTAAGTGGAATAGCTAGCTGTATGGGAGTGGCTACAGTAAGTGGAATAGCTAGCTGTATGGGTGTGGCTACAGTAAGTGGAATAGCTAGTTGTATGGGTGTGGCTACGGTAAGTGGAATAGCTAGCTGTATGGGTGTGGCTACAGTAAGTGGAATAGCTAGCTGTATGGGTGTGGCTACGGTAAGTGGAATAGCTA